GCTTTATATTTACAGTTATTGTGCAACAGTTTTAACAAGGAAGAGGGAGGGAGGAGTCAGGAACAAATTGATGTGGTGTGGATGTGAAAGCAAGGCAAGCCCTCTCCCCAGAAAGAAGAAAATAAGGTCAACCATTCCTATAACAGTGCTACCATCTGCAATTAATAAAAGCTCACATGTGACCCTGGTCCTCACAAATACCACGAGTGAAGTGTGCAGAAGCAGGAGACCTGTAAAGCACATGGCTGAAAGGCATTGCATCCTCACAGAACAAGCTGTGCACAGCTCTGACGCAAGTTTTTCCAGTAAAGAGCCTGAGTTGGCTTACATGTGTTATCAAACCTGCTCGGACAACTTGGAGTCAAAGGATCCTAAGCCAGGTTTGCACACATTGTGCTCTTTTATGAAAGGTGTCTGTGGTGAGTTCTGTCAGCCCTGCAGTCAGCCTGCCACAATGTCATGCATTTCCAGCCAAGTTTGAAGATGGGGCAGAAATAAGGCTGTATGAAAATATGCTCTGGGACTGACCATAAATGAGTCCCTCAGATATAGGTAGCACCATAAAGCTGCACACTCTTCCCCAGTGCTTGTCCTACAAAGCAGCTTCTGACAAGCTCTTTACAATGCCAGACAAAGAATTATTGGGAACATCAATAGCTATATACAGGAAAAAAGTTGACTCACCCAGCTGGAGATAAGGGCCCCTGGCTGCAGAACACTCCTTCTCAAGAACAAGCCTTCATCCAGAAAACATTCTCTCATCCGAGGCTAACCCTTAAATGAGCCTGGGAGGGGGAGGGAGGGGGAGGTGAACCCTGGGTCCACACCTTCTGGTCATGTGGGAAAGACAGGTAAATTGTTTACATCTGTGCTTCCTGGATCAGCTATACCCCTTCATCAGGTGCTCAGTCATCAGGCTGTTATGGCTGATGACTGAGCACCTGATGGGTTAGGGTTAGATACCCTAACACCCCACACCTAGCATCAGTACAAATGGATCCTATCCAAATCTTGCTTATGGAGAAACATCCAAAGAATCTATGGCCATAAGATTCTGCTTTACTCATTGCTCCATGTGCAAGAAGCTCTTTTCATTCAAGCCATGTGATTTAAATGTAATGGAGAAAGTTGACTGGGCTCTGAGCATCTGATCAAGCTGTGGATGTCCCAGTTCATTGTAGGGGATCTGGACCAGGTGACCTTTAAGGGTCCCTTCCAACTCAAACAGTTCCATTATTCTATGGTTCTATAAGTGCTATGGAGGTGGCAGCACAGCCCAGAAGGTCCGCTGAGCTGTTTTGGGATGGGAAGCCAACCTGAAGATTGCTCTGATGTGGGGTAACACAACAGACCCACTGGGGTGAACAAACAACCCCTATAGTGGCTGTGGCAGGAGGTTGGGTTGGGAAATAAAGGGATCACTGTGTCCTTGGCAAAGGATAAGGAGACCAGACTATAGCTTCTCATTGTCACTGTGTCCAGTAAAGCAGGTGACCTAGACCTCCAGAAGCTTTGATGGAGCCAACACTACAATGCTTGGTCCTATTTCACTGAGGAGTTTTGCTGTTTTTGCTTGCAGAAGAAAAGAGTTCTGCATCCTCTGCCATCATTTAACTGCTATGTTAGATGCGTTCCATGCGGCCAAATACCTGCGAGCACCAAATGAAAAATACAGTCATAGAAGGATAGAATCATTTGATTTGGAAACTATGAAAGGATCTAGTCTAAATTCCCTGCAATGAACAGACACACCTACAGCTCCATCAGGAGCCTCATCCAGCCTGACCTTGAATGTCTCCAGGGACAAGGCATCTACCACCTCTCTGGACAAACTGAATCCCGAGCTAAGTTCTTTGGGGTACCCATTCTCTGGGTAGGATGATGAAGAAGAGGATGGACTTGCCCATACTGAGGATTAAATGATAATTCATGCTTTCTCCTTAAATTGTGCTCACTCTGCTCTGGAGCATTCCCTCTGTCCTGGTATTGCCTGTGCCTTTCTTACAAATCAGACTGAAGCATTTTTCTCCAGCCATGAAAGTTAGCTGCTCCTGTTTGCATGGGCTCTGCTCATGGTGGCTGTTACCCTGTTCCTCCTGTTTCTCTCTGATGTCAAACAGAAGGGCATCCACTTCTTGGCCATGGTTCGGAGTTGTGACTCATTTAAAGGACTCCCCAAGAGGACACTTCACATTGCTGTCTGAGCTGCTTAATTCCCTTCACAAAAGCAGTGCTAAAGCTAATGCACAGCGAGAGCCCTAGAGGGAAGTTCTTCAGGAGGAGGTAAGAGCCAATATGTAAAGTGGTTAATGAGCTTGTCAGACAGCAGCACATTGGGTTACAGCTACCAGAAGTGGTTAGAGACAGACAAATGCTCCTCTTCTCCAGCACTGAGCACCTTAACATCTGTCTCTGCCCCAGGACCAGGGGCATTAAGAGCAGACAGGGCTGAAAGGAAAAGCATATATTGGAACCCGTTTGAAGTAAATTCCCCCTAATGTTTAGAGGCAGCAGGAGGAGAAGCACACACACCTCCATCCCAGGATGTGTTCCTCCTCTCTCTGCAGAGTCAGGCCACAAAACTTAGTTCTTCTGTGATGCCTCCCGAAGCATCAAGATTGGAAAAAGTAGCACTGATGTACAGGAAAATGGAGTAGTAAAGGGGAAAATCAGCCTTAGGAATAGTAGGAGGAGAACCAGGAACAACTCTTACTTCTTTATGTAATCTAGATTAAGTTAACAACATTTCCTTAATAGTAACAGGTCAGTGAGGACTGTACATCTAATAGATTTCGCATAGCTCACAGGATGCAAAAGCTGGAGGAGAACAGTACCTGGCGTTATGTGTAATTCAGTGATGGCACTGTACAGCAAGAAACCATCATGTCTTAAAGGAGGCTGAGAGCTGAGAAGGATGTAGGAAAGAGGAAAAGGATTTAAATAGAGAGAGCTCAGATTGTGTAGATTTGCCATGAACTTGACTAAAGCACAGATATTAGACGGAAGTGGAGTGGAAGTGAAGGGAAAACATCAAGAGTAACTTTCCCACTCCAAGTGCGATGAAATTCACCTACAGTTTCTCTCTCCACCTCAAAGTCCAAGAGGTGTGTTGAGTCATGCCACCATTCCTCTGCTTTACTCACCCGACCCGACCATTCATATGGTGGCTGAGGCACAGGGCTGAGCTGCAAGAGCATACATTGGAGGAGACCGAGGAGATACTTTGCACACCTTCATCTTTCCTCATTCATTTCTTCTCTCAAGTAAGTATAGCTCAGAAATAGTTGCTGCTCAAAAGGTGTGATGGAGCTTGACCTTTTAATGCCGTTAATGTGAGATGCGCCTAAATCAAGGATTTCGTCTCAGCACCATGCTAATTTTAACACATTATTCTCTTTAGGCCTTCAATCTCCTTCCCCACAGAAACCATAATTCATGGAAACATGTAAGAGATGGACTTGAGGCAAAGAACAAGGACAGGACAAATCATGCTAATTTAATTTGCTTGCTTAATTACATTTCATATCTCATTCGTTTGAGATATACAGATGAGTAAAATTCATGTGGACACAGACATTGGAATGCCAAAAATAAAGTCATGAGCAGTTTCATCATTGAGTTGTGCAGAAAATGAAAGTGAGAAAAGGAGAGAGAGAATGTGTTAGATAGCAGATGCAGTAAGGGGACAGGGAAAATACAGTTTGTTCCTTCTGTAGTGACTCTGACCTTATCTTTCCTTTTCCCCGCTTCTCTGTAAATATTTTGGCCTTCTTAATTCTACATTTTCCCATTCTCATCTTTGTTTTGCTGCACAAACCATCATTTTGCATCAGCAAGTTCCCTGGGACCACTGTGGTCCATTGAAATATTTCTAGTAGATAGCCAAAGGGAGGTACGATGACTATGCGTTCTTCCAACCCAAATCAGTCAGAAATTGATCCTAAACAAGGAGGGCTTCTGGCTTTATCCTTCTGAAGTGATTAGGAAGAGCATCAAAGGAAAACTGAGATCTGTCAGTTCTGTGCCACCCAGAGCTTCAAATCCTAATTTTATTGCTGTGTTGTATCTTGAGAGCAGCTGGGAAGAGTTGAGAATCTGGGCCTCTATCTTCACACATCCAAATCTGTCTTTAAATCTCACTTCTTCAGACAATCTCTCCTTACTATTTTTCAGCATCGACAAGTTACAGGTGCCTGCATCCTCTTCTCTGATGCCTACTTGTCATCTTCGGAGTTGTTGCTTTGGAAATGGACTAATTCCCATCTGCGGCGTCTCTGTTCCATGCCAGCTACTCACAAGATATTATAACTGTCACTATTTGTCACTGTTATTAGCAATAAACATGATGACAAAATTATGTTCTTTAAAGTATCAGTCAGTGGCCAGATATAAAGCTTCACAGATATTGATTACCACGTTCATTCAGCTAAACCAGAAACTGTGAAGATTGACACTCCTGCAGAATCATGTAATTGTCACCAAAAGCATCTCCAGTGACCACGTCCCTCGGTGCCAGGTTTCCATGGTCTGGAACACCTCCAGTGACAGTGACACCACCACCCCCCTGGGCAGCCTGTGCCACTGCATCTGAGAATAATTTTTTCCTAATATCCAACCTGAACCTCCCCTTGCTCAACTTCAGGCCATCACCTCTTGTCCTGTTGCTGGTACCTGGGAGAAGAGGCCGTTTCCCATCTCATTACAATATCCTTTCAGGAAGCTGTAGAGAGTTGCCAATTTCTGTCTGTAAGAGGGAGTTCAGCTGCATAAGCATGAGCCATGAGATGCCAATGGCTTTCAAGATCAGACCACAGGCTCTGGTTTATTTGTGAGCACAGACATAAGCATTAGGTCTTTAAACATGTTTTTTTTCTTCTCTGCATCTCAACCAATCCCATCTAATACTCATTTTTATCTGCGTACTAGGATTGCTTTCAGCAACAGCTTGCAGGGTAACTACTTATACTTCATGCTGCAAAAATAAACACAATAAGAAAAAGTTGTATTTTACTGCTATATTTCTGATGCAGTGGAAATCAACAAATGAAAAATTTAACTTGCCGGAATCATCTCCAGTCAGTATTGCAAAGAGCACAGCTCTCAAAGAAGTGAGTGACACACTGTAAAGCATCATCATTGGCTTGGGCTGACGCTGCTTGGTCCAGCCAGCACATTAACAGCCATCTGAGTAAGATGAGTGTCCAAAGCCTGGTGGGAGAGATTCGTCTGACCCAGCGTTAGCCCTGGCAGTTGAATGTCTCCATCGGAGCTGAACAGCCTGACTCCTCCATGTCCCTGCAGCGAAGCAGACACTTTTATTGTGCAGTTTGGCTCATCCTACAATGGACGCTTTAAGGCTAGATAAATCACACCAATTTTTCTCCATTGATGATGGAGGAAGCCTAGGGTGACTAGTTCAGTCAGAGACCCCTACCCAGCAGGGCAAGCTGCACCTCTCTGCTCTGCCTGATCCCCATCAGAACAAGATCCTCTCCTTTGATGAAATACAACTGTGAGTTCTATGGCCACAGCCTCAGTGCTGGCCAATTCGGGGCACCAACAAAGAAGCACCAGAGATGCATCCTGCACAGTTGTCTGCCCCCGTTCCAGCCAATTCACTACTCCCATGCCAGACAAACCCCTAAAACACAAGGCCAGTGATTTCTTGCACACTCTGTAATAAGCATTTATCTTCAGGTAGGTTTGGATCAGGAAGTTATTTGGCATTTTCCCAGTAGATTTTTGAACACACAGAATTCACAGATGCATCGAATCAGCCATTTTCCTGTCCAGGTCTAGCACCATGAAACACACTGAGCTGACTTTCAATATTATCCAAACAAAAATGGTTTCCTTGAAAAAAGTCCTTGCATGCTTTAAGCCGAATCAGGCCCAAGCTGGACTATATAAATATCATTGTTATGCCTTGTTGCTATAAAACCAGTAAGTACTGGGAGCTTTGCTCTTTGCCCAGGAAGTAGAGCTCATGCCAGGCAGCGTAAGGCAGGCTGCCAGGCAGGAGGTAGACATGGCTACAGACACAGTTTTTTCCAGATCTGCCCTTTGAGATTAGTGAACTTCTGTGAGTGAAGGAGATTTCCCATGCATGTTACATGTCAAAGGTAGGCAAGTACAAAGGGTGGCTGAAAGCAGCACTGATCTCATTGTTCAGGTGTGGCACCAGTGAAAACTACGATCCTTGGGTGAAAACTAGGGAACAGCCTTCATCTCTAATTATGTCTAAAACAGTTCAAACTTCTCCATCTCCTTAGGCCCTTTTATGAAAGTGCCTTGATTTTTCTGCAGAAATTAAATTACTTCACAAATTGTTCAAAACTTTGTCATTCTTATCTGGAAATGCCTCACTATCTTCCAGAGCTGCATTAGTCTTATTCCTCTTACTGTCATAATGACCTGCAGACCAGCTGGATTACATCCTGTGTGATTCTGTGTAGCTTTTGGAAACTCTTGTTTGTGGCGCATGTGGACAACACAAAGTTGGGCCATGGGAGGCAGTGGATGAAGTACATTGTGATTTCCAGTTGAAAGATCAGGGCAGCTCCCATCTTTCTTGCTTTTCCAGACTATCTGCAAACTCAAGCAGATCCTTCTGAACAGATTTGCCTCTTTTCTGGATTCAAGGATTATGAACATCACAGCAAGAAACACTTCTCATGTGAGGATATTAAAGACCTGGGAGACCTCTAAAATAGTCTTTTTTTCTCACCTCACACCTTGCACCCACCTGGAAACACTAAAATGTTCTCTCTCCAGACAGCTGGAGCCTTCTACATCACTTAGAATCACCGTATTATAGAATCATAAAGCTGGGAAAAGACCACTAAGATCATCTAGCCCAACCATCAGCCCATCCCACCATACCCACTAACTCCTAGCCCTCAGTGCCACATCTCCACAGTTCTCAAACACGTCTAGGAATGGTGACTCCACCACCTTCCTGGACTGCCTGTTCCAATGTATCACAACATTTTCTGAGAAGAATTTTTTTCCTGATTTCCTGATTTTTTCACTTGATGAAAGAGTAGTTAAGGCTGCTGCCTGCTCCCAGGAAAAAGCTCAAATTAAGGTACTGGAATCCTCAGCCTTATTTTTCAGGCATTTAGAGAAAAAAAAAAAAAAAAGAGACCAGAAATGAGCAGACCATACTTGCCAGTAAGCACTTAGGAACCATAATACTGTGCTCTGGCTGAATGGTAGAGCCAACCAAACTACATTTACTGTATTTCCTTCCTATCACGCATATTTCAGCCATAGTAAAAAAGAAAAAAAGGGCATCAAAATACAGCCAAGTTGTAAAACCTGACCATCTGCAGGGCGGCTGGTGGAAAGACATTTTTCTTTGCCTTGAGAGACATTTTTCCAAAGCTGTCAAACAGCTATCACCAAAGACCCACTGGAATATTTACTAGTCCAACATCTGTCAAGAAATTACTAGCTTGTTAAAGGTATATTGTTAGTTACTGGCATTAGACGTCTATTAACATTAACTGAACTCCTCAGAATTATTTAGGTTTCATTGAAGTTAATGGGAGCTTTACCATTAACTGTTGACTGACCTGATGGATTTGACTCACGGCAGACAGAACAGCGGTGGGTTTTTGTTCAAGCCACATACATGTGAATGAAGACATATAGGGACATAATCTCAGGGAGGACACACACGAAGGAAGAGGAGTATTTCAGATAGCCCAACCACTTTGGGGTATTCATTTAAACATTATTGCCTGGAGTATCTCTGCTTAAACTGCACAATGGGATGTGCAGGTGTTTGCTTTCAAGTGAGACTACCCATCCAGACATCCACATCAGCACCATGGTATCAGCAGTTAAACCCTTTGCAATGAGGGAAGGGTGGCCCTTACGCAGCTGAAATTCAGCCCCTCACCCACAGCCCCTGACACTTATTAAAGACACATTTTCTAAGCCACATGTGCCTGAAAGGCACATGAAAGAACTAGTTGGTGTGTAATTAGCATTGCTGATATTTACACCATTAAGGATCCAGGGAGAAACAAGGGTACACCACATACTCGTTGATTGGAGATGATTATGTTTCTGCTGATGCCAATATTTCAGTGTAGTAATTTGCCCTCTCTGTTCTCCCCTTCCACGTAAGCCAGTTTTGCAGTCTTCAGGGACAGATTTGATTGTGCCTTTTAGTCAAGTTGAGAGGGTCTAACCTTGCTGTCACATGCAGCAGTAACAATAGGCTATCCAACAGAAAACCTTAGTTTTTCATTAATACAGACTTCAGGGCCAATGCTAGGTTAAGAGTTAAACTTTTAGTTATCAGATCCCTTGTGTGATATAAACTATCATTATGAGATACATTTTCTTTCCATTATGCTGTAATAAAACCCTCCTCCTTATAATATAAATATATACATTTCCTCCGAGGCATCCTATTTGCTAAAGAACATCATGGAAATCTAATCTCCTTTTAATCAATAAAACACCAAATGATGTTTCTATTTAATGCAAACTTTGCTCCTTACCATGTAATGAACCTGTTTCTATTAAGAACACAGCCATTAATGGAATAAGTAATGCATTACTACTATTCCACTGCTACAGTCAGGTTTCTCTTAGTATTTCCATTATAAACTCCTCTATTTAAGGATCTGCAATTTGCTGTGAGCTGATGTTTTGCCTATAAAATCCTTTTATACTGCTTGAGGGCTCAGGGCAGGGGGCTTGGGTTGGGGAGAAGGTTACAGTTGTCATCATGCATAGGGGCTCTCTTGCTCAGCCACATACTCACTCGATGACCCTGGCCAAATCATTTAGCCTTTCAGAGCTTCAGTCAATCTAAATGGAAAATGGCCTGAAAATGAGAGAGGCCTCGGAGATGCGAGAGATCCAAGTTTAACTACATGTAAAAGGATGGCTCTAGGGACTGATAATGGACTGGTGAGACTTTTGCATTTGGGACATCAGTACAATTTATTGTAGGTCAGTAATGAAAAGAAAATGGAAGCATGGCATTTTGCCAAGAATAAGAACTGTGGGTGAGTGCTCAAACCACTTGTGATGGGCGGCTGTGAGAAGAAATAAATAGCTGTAATTTGGGCCAGAAAATCCTTATGACCCAATCTGTGCTTTTGGAAAACAGCTCTTTATTCCTATGTTTTTGTCAAGCTATCACTGGAGGAAGTTCAGGACCTTTTTCTTCATAAGATGCTCACTCAGAATATTTTATATCCTTATTGGGTTGCAGTTCGTTTCAGTCATACTGTTTCTATTATCTGATAAATGACAGGGCTTTCAAGGGAGAGAATAAGAAACATGTATTAGGAAACTCTGACACGTGTAATCACTGGTGCAGAAGTTGAAGATAACTTGAGGATTAACAAACATTCTGATGAGCAGCAGCAAACTAAAACAAAAGGCCAGCTGAATTTCATGCTCATATCTTCATGGATGCTGTTATGTCCCATGCAAGTAGATCAAAGTGAGAGACTGGAACCTCTGCCAGGACACGAAGGACATGTCTACCATGAAAAATGTGGTTGCACCGAGCAAAGTTGGCTAGCTGGGGTAGCGGTTTCAGGCAGCAGTTTTAAGAAAGTTTGGATTATAGGATGTTATAGCTACTCTAGCTCAAGCTGAACAGAAAGACACAGTGAAAGGGAAGGTGCTATCTGGAGCTAATGCCCAAGTTGCCTTTAATTCACTCTTGTTCCAACCTGGGTGACAAGCTTCTTGCAAGGGAGTTGTGTATGAAATGTTTTCAGTGCATGAGGAAACCCTGGCTGCAAGAGAACTGGGAAGGCCATCAGCTCCCCTTTCTTTTCTCCCTCATCCCTGTATACTGAAACTGGATAAAAGTAAATCTGGACCTGGGAACACTTCAGCAGGAGACACCACAGCTCCAGACCCTCCTAGGTGGGTGGTACATGAGACTGGAGAATGCTCATCCAGCACCCCTGGAAAAGAAGGTCTTCGACCCTCAAGGCAAGGCAGTGAGGGTCAGTAAAAGGCCTTCTGTTATTTATCCAGTAACCAGAGGATATTTGCTAGGACTTACTGCCATCTTCAGTTTTCAGGCAAAGAAAAGTCATGGATGGCATGGCACCACTTCTCAGTCTGGTAGTGGCACGAGCCTCACAACTACTATGTCTGTTGCCTGCACTTGTAAGTAGAGTTTCTTCCACTGTGTTCAGTTCACATTTCCAAGTTTTGCTTCACAGGTGTGAGTGTACAAAATGCTCTTTAGGCATGGGAAGAGATCGCGCTCTCACCTGGCTGCCTGTATATATGTCATATGTCATACATATTCCCTGTCTCTAAATAAGCAAGAAGAAATGAGAATTCTGCAACTGGAGGAGCACAAGGCATGAATACAGTTTGAGGTCATTCGGGATCCCCATAGTGGAATCAAAGTTAGTTTTCCAAATTCCAACAGAAGACTTCAGTCATGGGGTGGGTCAGGTGGGATACATGATAAACAGCAATCTTTGACAAAAAACAATGGCTGGGTTGTGTTTCCTGCATTTGAACCTCAAGGAAGGCAGGCTTGGAAGAAGGACAAATCTATTCATAGTTCACCTGCCAGCAACAGCAGCACTGGTGGAGGGGACAGAGCAGGAAATTGGCAGAGAGAGCCATCATGTCTGGAGGCTTTATCCTAGCACAGGTAACACATTCTTTATTTCACATTTATTTTCTTGCCATGTTAAGGAAGGGGAAAATAGACACGCTTATTTCTCCTGCTCATTTTCCTGGACCATCTGGTGCTGCAGCAGAGATGACATATCACTGTGAACAAGGGGAAGATGTCACAGTTTTCACTAATAGCTGTGGGAGGAAAATAATTATTTTAAAAGTATGTGGGCTGTACAGACCGTACTTGTTAAGTCAAACTACCGGCAAACTTATTTCAGACATGAAATGTTTGATATAAAATAATCAGTAATGCTAGAGATCAGCAGTCCCAGCCATAAGGGCCAGGCTCACCTCTACACCTACCATGGCTGTAAGTCAGGTACCACTTCACCAAAGCTCATTCACACTCTTTGGCATTTACTGGATTCAATAAGAATGAGAAATTATAGACAAGCCTGTGCCACAGATTGTTCGTACCATGTACATCAGTGATTGCAATCAGGTAGGGAAACATCAGGATAAGAAGTAAAGCTGATAACATGACGTATCACCTTCCAAGCAATGAGAAGAATATATTGATTTTGTTCTGATCCTTTCTGTATTGTTTCTCTAAAGTCCTCAGGGCATCCATGTAAGCTTACAACTCTAGATAGTTTCACAATAAATAATAATCAAACTTGGAAGCACTAAAGATGTGAAGAGAAATGAAACACTTGTCCTACATAGGGAAACTCAAGAAACATCATTCTGATGAACAGGAACGAGTGAAATTTGCAGTTGTTCAACAGCTTTAGGGGCCTTTTTGGAAATGTCTTGAAAACTATCTGATTCTGCCCAGAAACCTGCGAGATGTGTGAAATAATAATTGAAAATAGAGCTTTATAGAAATCACATGGAACGATTTGACTCATAAGTAGTCTTCTTTTTTGGAATGAAATGAACATTTCCTCTTCTTCCCCCCAAACAAATCTGTTGCACTGAAATGTTGGTATTTGAAAAATGTTGATAAACTCTAGTTACAATGAGAGCTAGTCAGAAAATGGAAACAGATTTGGTAAATAAGTATAAACAAAACAGCATGAATTTGATTCCTGGGATTTTGTAGAATTGCTTTGCTTGTTCTTTGCAAACAAGTAGAGCTACA